GGCTGGAACTTGCCTGTCGTTCTGTCTTAGATTCTTTTTACGTATCTGGTCCAGTTTTATCTTTTTCTACGTCTAGGTTCCACATTGACGGAATTGGGTTAATTATATAATTAGTAATAATAATAAGTACACGGATAACGATCGTTTACCGAGTGCCTCCTGCGTGCCAGGAATTGAGCTGAGTGACTTTATCCTCACAGCAGTCCCAGGAAACAGATATGACGATGATTGTCCTTATTTTCAGACGGAAGCTGAGGCTCAGAGCCGACACCCGGCCGGCCCCCAGCCACCCAGCAGCCAGAGCACGTCGCCGGGCTCCAAGGCCAGGTCTGCCCGACTCCGGAACCCCTGCTCCCCGTCTCTTGCACGTCGAATGAAACAGGCTTCTTTCACAAGGAGGGGAAGGGAGGTTCAAGAGCACGACTTGTCCAAGGTCGCAGAGCGAGCTCAGGGGGTCACGTTACTAGAAACCAGAGCTCCTGGGTCTCCATATCAGGGCTCTTTCTATGGCATGCCGCTGCTCAGCGAGTGCTGAGACTTGAAAGTCAGGCTGGGGTCTGGGGCGGTGGGAGCTACAGAAGTTTCTGAGCAGAGTTGGGAGGGAAACAGCTCCTTTCTTCAAATATGGTGGAGGAGGAGGGAGACTCGGGGACTGACGTGTTACAGTCCTGGCACCCTCCAGAGCAACTACCGTCCCTTAGCAAGACCCACTGGCTCTTGCCCGGGCTCCTCTGGCTCCTGTGTCACAGGAGGCAGCTGGGGCCCCAGATCCCCGGAGCTGATGGCTGACGCTCTGCAGCTTGCACTTCTGGTGCGGGCGGGCTGGGACGGTGCCAGTGGCATGACCACATGCCACCCTGCGTTGATCAGATGATCCCAGCTGCCTAGTGGTGAGGTCTGTAGGACAAGGGACCCTGCAGTGGAAACTCCCCAGATGAGCTTGGGGACTCTCCACTCGCCAATCTACTGCTTGCTTATCTGCCTTCTTGGCCAGCCTCCACCAGGATCTGGGTGTTTGTTTTAAACATTCAGGGCTTGGGAGCCAAGGGAGCCAAGGATGAAGGCAACAGAGGGTTAAACTTGCAGACGCTGACATCAAACCCACCGTGGCTCAGACCCTTCCTCTCATCTACCAGCCCCTTGACCTTCAGCAAGCAGGCTTTCCTGTTTACAGTGGTGGGGACAGGAAGGCCTGTTTCTCGGAGCTGTGATGATGCAGACACGATGCACCCAAACCCCTTAGCATTGATGCCTGCCGCACAGCCCGTGTTCCAGCAGCGGGCCTGCCCCTGACCCTGCCACCCGCCCCTGCCACCCGCCCCTCACCACACTATCTAGGGAAATCTCTGAGCCTCAGTTTCCTCGTGTGCATGCTGGAGACAGTAATACCTTCTTCCTGGGGTGCTGTGAGGGTTGCAATGAGAAAGGGATGTAAAAATATTTTGTGACTCTCAGCCCTTAGCTTCTCAGCTGAACTATATGATGCTGATATTGGACTCCCATTCCCCATACCCAGCTGAGCGCCACCCTGACGGTGCGTTTCTGTCTCCTCTGAACACTAGCTGGCTGTGCGGGGGGTTAGGTATGTGGTACCTAGCATCCCGGAACAAAAGGGTCAGTTGTGCCACCTCGGGCCAGACACCGCAGCTCTCTGGACCTCGGTTTCTGTCTCTGAAAGATGGAGGTGAGCATAGGCCTGTGGAGTAACTGCACGGGCACCGCATGTAAAACGCATACTGTTCTGCCTGGCACATAGTCGGCGCTCAAGGAAGACTGGCAATTACTATTCCTACCACCCGTGCCCGGACCTAGACTGGCACTGAGTCGGCGAAGAGAAGGAGGAAGGGGACTTTGCACGGGGCCCTCCTGCTCAGGAAGGGAACCCTGAGCTCCCCTCTGGAGGCCAGGTGTGCTCACACAGACCACCTGCTTCATCCTCACAATAAGTCTTGTAAGAATGGCACTAACTCCAATGTAAAGGTGGGGAAACTGAGGCCCAAGAGGGGCAGCTGGCTGCCTAAGGTGATGCCGAGGGCTAGTCAGGACTGGGCGTCGGGGTCTGAAGGGACGCTGGGTTGGTTCCAGTCCGTCCTTGCCTGGCTGAGAGGCTGCTTCCCGAGGTGGGGCTGGGTGAGGTTGGGTCCCTGGGTGAGTCAGGTAAGAGTCAGCTCCGGATTTCCAAATAGTGGGTGGGACCCAGGAGGGACGGACCTCTCCTGGGCCATTTCCCAGGCCCTCCCTAGAGCCTCCGGTAGCGTCGCCAGGAGGGCATGTGCTGTGGTGGAGCCGGGGCTGGGGACCGGCCGAGAGAGGAGCTTCACCCCATGTCACCAACGGGGTGGAGGGGAGAGGGAAGGGGGGGGCCCGGCTGTCCTCGCTGGGGGCGGTCTCAGGGTCTAGGGTGGGACTGCGCGTGTTGGGGTGCTAGCCAATGGACCCAGCTGGGAAAAGTAGGGAAACTGAGGCAGGGCACTGCCACTTTTGGTGGTGGTCACAGCAGATGGGTGGGCTGGCAGTTACCTCGATGCGACTGGCCCTGGACCCTCCCTCACTCAGGGAAGGTCTACATTTTTTCATGTATTCAGTCACTCATGCAGACACCCACTCGTTTCTTCACTCCGTCAACCAGCGCTGGCTGGATGTCTTCTGTGCGCCAGAGCTTGCACTTGGCTCTGGGGCGGGAGCAACCCAGATGCTCGCAGCTTCATAAGGGAACAGAGGGACAGTGTAATCCAGCGTGCCAGCTGCTGTGACCAGGGAGAGCACAGGAGTTCCCTGAAGGCAGAAAAAGGAGGAGTCGTGACAGAGGAGGTTCCCCAGGGGACACCGGAGCTGAGTGGAAGTTCACCATCCTGAAGGCTAGGAAAGCTCCCTGGGTGCTGAGGCTATAGGCTTTGGAGCTGAGGAGCAAGGAAAGGCGACCCTGTGCTGTGCCCTTCCCCAGGGCTGGGGCCAAGGCCAGCCACACCTGTCCCCGGACCCAGCTGCGTGCTGGACCCTACCGCTGAGTTGCACCAAACCCAAGTCCAGGTGTGAACTGCACAGCCCCCGCCCTGGTTCCTTCCCTGGGGGCTACCCCCAGCACTGGGCCAGAAACCCGGGTGCCCTCCTCACCCCCTCCCTCTCCCTGAAGGCCCCTGGCCAATCGAGGCCCACACAGCCCAGGCACTTCTCTGCCCCCTTTCCCTCGTCCTCCTCTCCCCTCCTCCGCCACCCTGACTTTGTCCTGTTCCTGGAGGACGGCACTGGCGTCCAGCCTGCCACCTCCGTCTGGCCTCTCCTTGTCTGCCTTCACCTCGAGATTTCCTGCGCTGATCACCGAGCCTGGCCACAGCGAGGGCTTGATCCCTCCGGGCCAAACCTGTGCTCAGACCCCATCTGGTGTAACTTGTTGTTCAGACGGCGGCCAGAGGCCTGGAGAACCGCGGAGACTTGTCCAGGGTCAAACCATGGAGGAACTGAGACTTGAACTGGCTTCTCCTGACTCCCAGCCTGTGGCTCTTTCTCCCAGTGCTGGGGCCACACAAGCGTTTGCGGGGGACCCGGGCTTAAGGAACAGGCAGGAGGTGTAGGCATGGTAATTTGTTGGGCCCCGGGCCTGAAGGGTGGGAGGACCCGGGAGTGAACCATGGAGCCTCATTCAAGCATCCTCTCTCCTCTCTTCACCACCAGAAAGTCCCCTTCTCTTTGGGTAGCTGGGCCCCGGAATCTTCACCCCGACCCCCTTGGACTGATAAGCCACACCTGGCCCTGTGTGGGTGGTTATCAGGGACTCTGCACCAGGTGCCGGAGGGAAAGTCCCCGCCTGTCCGGGTACCACCCCAGGGCCCTCCACCTGCCCCGCCCCCTCCCCAGTCTGCCCTGGCTTGCTCTGGTTCCCCGCAGCGCCGGCTCTTCCCCAGCAGAGCATGGAAACAGCTCCGGTGGAGACACGGACGGGGCTTCCCAACAGGTCTCCCTCCTCCGCCCGGTTTGCTTCTCACCCCACACACCCACGGCGGCCGGCGAGCGGGCACCGGACCCCTGCGCCCTCCTGCCAGGCCTTTCCCACCGTGGGGCCTACAGCACGGCTGGGCGAGCTGGGGAAACCGAGGGGAAAAAACCGACAGGAGGCTCGGAGTGACTCAGGATGATAGCGTCTGCCTGCTATGACTGGTTTCCTCAACTATTAAAAAAAAAAAAAAAGGAGCTGGCGCTGGGATTCCCTAAAGTCGGCAGGTGGATGTGAGACCGGCTTGGGCACCGGCCCCGGGCGGGCGGCCCTAGAATCTAGGCTAGAGCTTTGAAAACCACGCCTCCTGATAACTGAGCACCTACTATGAGCCTGGTACTGCACCAGGAGCTTTGTGCGCACTGTCTCATCGAATCTTACAAGAACCCTCTGGGGTGGTTCCTCTTATCCCCACTTTTTGTACAGAGGAGCACGCTGGGGACCAGAGAGCGGGTAAGCGCCGGGCGCAGGGTGACACAGCCCGTCCGCCGGAGGGTCTGGGTTCCAGCGCGGGTCTCCCGGGCTTGGCGCCTGTGCCCTTGGATTCCGGCCGCAGAGGCCTCAGAGGGCGGAGCCCCGCCTCAGGAGGTGTCCGTCATTCTCCTGGGGTCTGAGGACGGCGGGCTTTCCTGCAGGAAGCCGTGTGCAGGCCGGCCGCACTGCTCCTTGCCCGCCCTCCCACCTTCTTCTCTGCGCAGCAGCTGTGTAGTTCAGACCGGCGGCTGGTAGCCTCGGCTGCTCCATCAGTTCTGCCCGAAGCCCCGGGTGACCTCCGCACTGCCCCTCATCTCTGGGCCCAAGTTTCCTATCTGCCCAAGCATCGTCTCTCCCCGGGCTTCGAAAGCTCCAGCGCCTCAAGGATTTAGGGTGAAAACCCGCCTTAGTGGCAGTCATAGAATAACGAATAAAATGTCCCGACTGGGACCCGGAGTAGAGGAAGTGAGTGGGTGGTGGCCGAGGTGACCGCTAGCTGGAGAGGTGGGGCCAGGCAGAGGGTGGGGAGGGGGTGGGCCGAGCAGGCGGGGCCGGCCGAGCTGCGGCGCAGAGCTGGAGACGCACGCGAGGCTCTGGCAGTTCGCACCGCGCACCCGTCGGCCGCCCCGCAGCACCATGAGCCGTGAGTCCGTCCCGGTGCCCCAGGAGCCCTGTTTGCCTCCTCTCGGAGCCCTGAATGACAGGCTCAGCCCTTGCCCTCTCTCCCCTCGCAGGGCAGAGTCTCTGGCTCCGGTTCCCGCTGCTCCTGCTGCTGCTGCTGCCGCTGCCCCCGGTCCTGCTCGCGAACCCCGGGGAGCCCGTGCCAGGTAGGCAGCCCCCTCCCTGCCCTCGGGGAGACCTCGGTCCTGCGCCCCCAGCGCTGGCTCTTCCTCCTCCTCTCCCCTGCGGCCGGCCCAGCTTCACCTTTCTGCTTGCGGTCGGTCGGTCGGGGAGCAGGTGGGGGCCCTCTGAAGACCGCGGGGCGGGGAGGAGTGTGGCCCGTGCTGGGTGGGGGTCGGGGAGGGGGAGGCTACACGGTTCTTTGGGGGGAAAGGCAGACTGGAGTCTCGTGCCAGCTTTGGGAGAAGGGACGGCTCCTCTCCGGCCCCCTCACCTGTTCTGGGCCCCCAGCTCCCCAACGCCACCGCTGTTTCCTGTGGGGCCCTCTTTCGGAGGAAGCATCCGAAACTATCGAGGGGAAGGCGGGCTGGCTAGTTCCCGTTCTCCGGCCTCTAACTTTCTGGGGACCCATCCGGGTTCCCAGACCCGGTGAAGTTGTTCTCCCCTGGCGAGGACCCCGGCACACCACGCAGACCTGGTTTCTTCTCTGGAGGTTTACATCCTCTCGCAGAGGTCCCCGCTGGGCAGATGAGGAAACTGAGGCTCAGACAGGCGCCCTAACTCCCTCGAGCTCCCGCAGCACAAGGTGGGCTCAGGGCTGGAACCCTTGGATCCGTGGATCTCTCCGACTTTAGGCCCTTTGCAAGCTCTTCCCAGAGAGTCCCCCTCACCCCTTCTCCCTCCCCGAACTGGTTTCATCAACCCAAAGATCACGGGAAGTCAGATCCTGTAAAATCCCAGCACCCCTGGCCACCACCATGCGCGTACAATGTACCAAGTGCAGGAATCCAGCTCCTCCCTCAGCCAGCCTCCCTCGTCCAGTTGGCTGCTTCTGCGTGTGCACGTGCCTGTGCATGTGCACGGTCTGGACGTACTGGCCCCCAAGGCCTCCCTGAGAGATCCCTCCCTCCCTGGGTCTCCCCTTCCCACCTGTAAGAAAGAGTGGGAGTGGGGAGTGGAGTCCGAGCTTTGTGCTGGGATGTTCCCAGGACTCAGTCAGGGCTTGGACGGCGGCGGAACAATGTCTGTGTGGACTGAGAGTCAGGCTAGGTTTCCTGGAGGGGAGGGTTTGAGTGGGTGGCATTTGGGGAAGCTGGAAAGGGCATGGAGGGGGCTCCTGGCATGGGTTTGGGAATGAGCAAAGGCCTAGTTTGTGGGAAGAGGAGGAGGAAGGCTCATGGGGCCAGCTCTTGCCAGTTCACAAGGCCCAGCGGTGGGGGTTCACTTTGGTGCTTTCAGTAGCCCTGGAGGTGAGGGAGTCCCAGTCTGCAGAGGGGGCTCTGAGGCCCAGCCAGGTGAGCCCAGCTGTCTGAGACCCTGAGCACAGAGCCCGGGCTGCCCCGGCTGCCCCAGAGAGTAGTCTTGTCACCTCCTGGATCAGCCCAGCATTTCCTCTGAGGCCCCATCCGGGGCCCCCGGGGTCAGCAGGGCTGGCCTGCCCGTCTTCCTGCCTTTGCTCACCAGGCCCAGGGAGCCATGGTCTCTGCCATTTTTTTTGCCTTTTCTACTTACCTTTATATCATTGTGTGTTTTAATAGAATGGGTTCTTTTCCCCCATGCGTAAATATTCCCGAAGGTTGGCTCTCCGCTGGCCTTTGGCTGGAGCTGAGACCCAGAGCTGGGTGGAGCTCACGGCCTGATGCGGGAGACGGAGATGCCAACAGGCTGCCATCCAAGGGGAGCGGGGCCATGACCGCAGGGCTCAGGGGCGGGAGCAGTTGCTTCTCCAGTGGGAGGGACTGAGGGAGGCTTCTTGGTGACGTGGACTCCGGGGCGGTGGCGGGGGGTGGGGGGGATGCCGTGAGGCTTCACTGTGCAACTCTGTGAGGGTCTCTCTGCCGGCAGCGCAGGGCCTGGAGCCGGCAGAGCTGAGCCGTGGGAAGCAGACGGGAGCGTGGGGAGCAGTGGAAGGTGCTGGCTGCCAGGGCCTTTGACTGCAGGGCCTTGGGCCCGAGGGTCCCCGGGGGAGTGGGTTGGATGGGTGGCTTGGGGGTGAGCCTGGAGGTGGACACCATCCAGGAGGCTGCAGCAAGGGTCAAGGAAAGAACGGGGGGACAAGTTGGCAGAAGGTTTGGGCTGTGCTTCCAAGTCTAGGAGTGAATTGAGGTCCTGGGTGCCTGGGCATCAGGCGTGGAAAGTCTGTATTTGCCCCCAGAGTGGCAGCGAAGACTGACCCCCCATGAGATGAGGGCTGCAGACACACCTAGGGGCAGGTGTCAGGGGAGAATGTTGCTTCTGCCTCTTGCGTGGTGGCAGAGGTAGAGTCCAGGCTGGAGGGCAAGCTTGTTCCAGGAGATCCTTAATGCTCAAGTTCATTCCCTCCAGCTCCTGGACTTGGCAGTGCTTTCTCCTTGCCTAGGGATAGGGCACAACCTCGATGTCAGGTGGAGGTCCCTCAGGCCAGCTGGCCCTGGCACATGGGGTGGGAACCCAGCCTATGCCGAGGCCTCCCTGCTACTCACTGCTGGCCGCCTCCTATCTGCAGCTCCAGCTGGGTCTGTGGCTGCAGACCCAGATGGGGTTTCCTCTCCAGCTGCGCTCCACCAGCTGTGGCCCAGCTCCATGGTGTGGTGGTGCCTGGCCTCTGGCCGCTGACCTGGCTGGGTGCAGGGGCTGGAGCCCTGGTCTGGCTCGTAGGTCTTTTTTCTTTTTCTCTGTGGCTGCCAAGACCCTGGAGTTTCTCTAAATATTCTCAGAGGATTTCATTCCAGTCTCTTGCTGCCTGACGCCTCTGCATCCTGGAGAATTTGGAGTTCCTTGACTGTGTCCAGAGCCCTGACTCCTGGGCTGGGGGACATTTCCTTGTCTGAATCCACAGAAGGTTCCAGAGCCAGGCTCTCCTGGACAGGCCTTGTCTGTGGGCATGTGTGCCGCAGGGGCCCGCTGATCGAGCTCACCTCTGGGGCGGCCTGAAGAAGCCTCAGGGAGGGCAGGCTGCAAGGCGGTCTGCAGATGCTGATGGGATGGGAGTCACATCGGTGTGGGTCACGGAGAGGGAGAGATCACCTCTGCCCAGGCCGGAGGAGCACGCGGAGTGCACAGGGAAGTCTCCCCAGGGCCCGTCTGCTCTGTCCTCTTCCAGGGAGGCACAGAAAAAGGAGGTCTGGAGGACGGAAGGGGCCTGCCCAAGGACACGGCGCCAGCAGGCAACAGCTGCTCTCCGGCATGTCTTTTCCCAGCATCCACTTGGTGCCTGGCCTGTGCGGGTGTGGGAACGCGAGACGCACTGGACTCGGTGCCTGCGTCTCCCCGGTTCTCTTTCCCGGTGGTCTGTTACGCATGGTGTCCTCCACTGAGCCCGGAACCGGGCCGGCCTGAAAGCACGCGGGACTCAAGTTAGACCGAAGGGAGGCCTTCTTTAGCTCTGGTGGTAGCAGGGGATGGTGGTCCCTCAGGGCTTCTGGCTTCAATCATTTAGGAGTTTTCAGGTCCCCCTCAAAGGAAGGGTGACAAAACTACCCACCTGGGACCATCCCCAGCTTATGGATCAAAGTGACTCTTCCTCCCCATCCCTCCCCCGAATCCAGGCCTCTAGGAGGAGGCAGGGAGGGGAAGAGAAAGGAGCTCAAGCCTTGGCCCTGGGACGTGGAGGCAGCGGGCCTGGGGTTGTGCATTCTTCCCGTGGCCACAGGGAGTTCTCCGTGCCCCCTTCCAGGGAGTGCTAAGCTGGGAAACTTGAGTGGGGAACGGGCAAGACAGCCCAGCCTGGTCAGGCTCACCCCTGGGAAAGTGGCTCCCAGTTTCCTGTCTGCCCACCCTGACACCCTTGGTCCCCAAAGGCAGCCGATGTCCTAGCTGGGGAGAACTTCTCCTCCTGTGCTGGGGCGGCTGGTGTTTATGGAAAGATCCGGAGAGGAGGGATGGAAAGTTGGACAGCCAGCCCGCGGGGAGGAGCCTCGGCTCTCAAAGGGCCTCTCCTGGCAGGACAGGCGTTTTCTGCTCCCGCTGGGCAGGCGCTAGGGCCGTGCAGGAGGGAGTTTGCAAGCTGGAGTCTGAGCCAGTGGCCCTGGGCTGGGAAGATGAAAGCCCTCTTTGGCCAAGCCTGAGGTAGCCTGTTTCCCAGCTTCATTTCATCAGTTCTACAAACATCTGCTGCGCTCCGGCCAACCCATCTGGATCCTCTGGGTGGCTGGATCTCTCCAGGACCCTGGCTGTGCTGCAGCTGTGTGCCTGTAGGAGAAAGTCGGGGGGACAGCGTGGCCCCTTCTCTTGGGGACTCGTGGTGGAGAAGAGCAGGCTGCGTTGGGACACGGAGCCAGGGTGGGAGCGAGCGGGCGGAGTTCAGTGTGGATGTTCAAGGGAGGCTGTCCTCTGGAGGCAAGGCGTGGGCTCAGCCAGCGGGTCAGGTGGACTTGGGGGGAGTTTGTTTGGGAGGAACAGCAGTTTGGGTAAGGGGAGATGCGCTTTTGACTTTGGGACTGAAGGGCAGGGCTGCCACAGAACCAGCTGGAACAACCCCTTGAGACCCTTTTGAGGCTGGGCACTGGGCATGGGGCTCCAGAGACAGCAAATTAGGCAGGGAGCCCGAGTCCTCAGCAGGAGGGACCAATGAGGAGAGTCCCATGTCCCTGGGCCGCCTGCTTGGCATTTCTGGGCCTGCAGGCCTGGGAGGGGGAGGCTGGGTCCTGCCAGGTTCCTGCCCTGGGTCTTGCCTGTGAGTCTGCCTGTGTCAGCCTGATAAGGCCTTTGTCAAGCCTTCTTTCCTTTCCACTGGCCCCTCCTTCCTATACCCCTGCAGGGGGCACAGAGATGCCATTGTGGGGATGGGAGGAGTTGCCAGGTTTAAAGCACAATCATTTGCATGATTCGTATGATTTGTTTCTTGCTTGTGTGTGTGGGGCATGTGTTGAGGGGAGGTGGTGGGTGGTGGTGCTGGAGGCCCTCCCCGAGCTGGGGGCCAGGAGGACCCTGCTGCCCGGGCCTCATGCTGTGAAGGGAGGAGGGGCCAGGTCGTGCCCAGGGTCATGCCCTCTAATCACAGCATTCGGAGATGACGTCTCAGGCTTCTTTTGCTATCCTCTTGACCCCCTATAATCAGTTGCACACAGAATGCAAGTTCCTTGTAATGCTGGCTTTGGGTTCAGATAAGGAAGTGTGTTTGCAGAGGGGGGCCTGGCGTCTCCCGAGGGAGGCCGGGGAAGGAGTCCTTCCAGGAGCCAGGAGTCCTGGGTCTGCAGGAAGGCCCTGCTCCCTCCTGGGTCCTCGGCCAAAGCTCTGCCTCTCTCGGAGCCTTGGTTTCCCTTGCCAAGCAGTGAACGAACAACGTGCGAGCTCTAAGGAGTCTCTGACTTTGCTCTTGAAGGATTGCTTGAGCAAGGGGGGACCTGGCTTAGACACAGGAGGGACTTCCTGGTGGGGATCTCTCCAGGAGGCAGGGGCTGATGCCAGAGCTCTCTGCCCACCGTCTCAGGAGGTTTTTCCAGCCACGTGTCTCCTTTCCCTTGGTCCCTGACCTACCTCGAGATCCTAGAGTCTAGACCCTCCTCCCGTCTCCGCCAATCCAACCCCCGCCAAGTGGGCCAAAGCAGGGCCTGTCGGGAATGAGAGCGGGGACAGCCAAGACTCCCCTCAAACCCACATTCTGCCCGCAGGGTCCTGGGGTACATGTAGCCTTGGACTTGGTGGCTGAGTCTGTGAGGTGGGCTGGAAGTGAAGGGATAGGCAGTTGGTCTGATATGATTTGCAGGGTGACCCTCCTGGGTGTCCTCTTATCTGGCCTCAGTTCCCCCATCTGCAAGGGAACATTATGGTAGCTGCTTGTCCTTCTGTTTTACAAAAACAGACGGATAGTGGGCAGTCTCTTCCTCCTAGTGTCCACATGCCCAGAGGTTGGGGGCTGGTCTGGGAGAGCCACCCCCTTACTTGCCCCTTTCTGAATCCACGAAACCCTGCCCTGGGTGCTGGGCTTGGCAGGAAGTGAACTCTCGAGAAGCCTGTGGCTGCAGGGTCTTATCAGCTGTTTCCTAGCCTTCGGTGCTACAGCCTGGGGCCTGCCCTCCTCCCCCCACCCTGCTGGTGGCAGCAGGGAGGGAGGGGGACTTCCTCCGGGGGCCCTGATATGGGTCACACGCAGACCAGGGCAGGGCCTAGGAGCAGCAGGGCTGGGGGCTTTCTGCTCAGAGCCTTAGGAACAGAGAGGGCCCTTAGGGGACCACTGAAGTCCCGTGAGTTAGGACAGAGCTGCCACTTGAGTCCATGCCTCTGGCCCCCCACAAGAGGCCATCCCGGCCCTGGCTGGTGTAGCTCAGTGGATTGAGCGCGGGCTGGGAACCAAAGTGTCCCAGGTTCGATTCCCAGCCAGGGTACATTCCTGGGTTGCAGGCCATAACCCCCAGCAACCACACATTGATGTTTCTCTCTCTCTCTCTCTCTATCTCCCTCCTTTCCCTCTCTAAAAAAAAAAAAGAGGCCATCCCGGGGTGGTCTCTGATCTCTGTTTTTCATCCACAGTGAACCCCTGTTGTTACTTCCCATGCCAGCACCAGGGCATCTGCGTCCGTTTTGGCCTTGACCGCTACCAGTGTGACTGCACCCGCACCGGCTATTCCGGCCCCAACTGCACCATCCGTGAGCTGGGCCTCCAGCCCCGACTCCTTCTATCTTGGGCCCTTCCTGCTTCCTGGGGCTCATCCTCTGAGACCCCCACTTCCTGCCCTCATTACTGGCCATAGCCCTGTTCTCTTTCCTTGCCTGGCTTTGATCTCTGACACCCCTCTGACCTCTGTGGTGAGTCTTCACTGCCCAGCCCCGACCTCCTCCCCTGGCCCGGGCCCCTGTCCTCACACCTGGTTCTGGCTCTGTCACGTGTCATCGCTCCCAGGGCTCCATCCTTACCCCCGCCCCATGTGTTCCACCCTGTTCCATCCTGGCCCTGGTTCCCAGTTCCCATCCCCTGCTCTGGCTATGCCCAGGCCTGCCAGGAGGGCTCGACTGAGTGGCTCCCACTGCCCCTGCAGCTGATCTGTGGACCTGGCTCCGGAACTCACTGCGGCCCAGCCCCTCTTTCATCCACTTCCTGCTGACCCACGGGCGCTGGTTCTGGGAGTTTGTCAATGCCACTTTCATCCGAGACGCGCTCATGCGCCTGGTACTCACAGGTGGGTGGGAGACAAGCCCCTCCCTAATCTGGGGGAGCAAGAAACCCTGCTGGTTCCTGGAATTCTTGGCATCTGATAAAGGCAGCGGGTGGGGAGACTCTGTGATGCCAGATGAAACAAGTCCAACCCAAGAGAAGGCGGCGGAGGCGGGTAGGACGGGGGTGGGAACTCCCTGGTCACCGTTCTCTTTGCCTTTACAGTGCGTTCCAACCTTATCCCCAGCCCCCCCACCTACAACTTAGCGCACGACTACATCAGCTGGGAGTCCTTCTCCAACGTGAGCTATTACACTCGAATTCTGCCCTCCGTGCCCCAAGACTGCCCTACCCCCATGGGGACCAAAGGTAATGGAGGCGGGGCGAGGGGGCTGGGGATCACAGGAGATGCTCAGCTGTCCTCTTGGAGAAAAAGCAGGGAGAAGAGGGACTGTTGACCCATTTCACAGCTAGGTGGACCGAGGCAAGACATGTGACATAGTCAGAACCAGGGACGAGGACAGGGCTGGAAAATGAGGACAGAGAGGGTGGTGGGGGTCTCGCCTGAGGTCACTTCGGAAGTCAGTGGCAGTCAGACGAGGGTTCCCACGTTTCCAGGTGCCTCTGCCTGCACCTTGTCCCCCAAATGTGTGTGTGTGGGGGGTCTTGCTGGGATGGAAGTGACTAAAAAGTTTAACTGTAGGCGGGAAGTAATAGTGTGCTTTTTATCTGGTTCTTCACTAATGTAAATAAATACCTTTACATGCTTCATCGGTACTGTTTACATATAAAGTCAGATTTTTTTTTAGTTGCCCAAATCCCACTCGGTCTCACTGCCAGGGGTCTTTCTCCTAACTAAGGAGAAACTTCTTCCCATTCCACCCCTGACTGTCCAAAACCTGAGAGTTTACCCCGGTCAGAGCTCTCATTTCCGCTTCAAGAATAAGAGAGGGCGAGAGAGGCATCCGTCCGCCACTGCCATCACTTCAGTTCCCACCACATGGTGTCGCTGTTGAGCCCTGGTCCCCGCGCAGCCCCAGAGTTGTGTGCTTTCCCAGGCTGAAAACGAGCAAACGTATAGATATCCTTACCTGGGCCCCAGGGGCACTATGCTGATGGTTTGCACTTCCCTGTAACTACTGCTCCCAAGGCACGACCATTCTGCCAGCATAGCTGGGTCTCGCTGACTTTCTGGGCTCTGCCACCTCTTTGCTGGCCCCTGTCCACCTTCCCTCTTGGGAGTGCTTGCTGTCCTTTCCTGCTAGAGGAAACCAGTCGGCCATTCCCATCCAAAGAGTCAGTCCGCTGGTCTCGAACCTTCAACACTGGGCCTCGCACGGGGGTTATGAAAGGATGCCTTTACCAGAACACAGAAATTCAATCATTCCTTTCTGCGAGGGCATGGGGCACCAACCCATCTGATTTTGAGGTAATTAAGGAATTTATTTACATTTATCCTCATGATGACAGACATGTACTTCAAGGTGACTTGTCTTTACCCCAGAGAGAGAAAGACTGGCATTTAAAATATGTTGGCAAACTCCAGCCTGCAGGCCAAATCCAGCCCCACCCCTGTTCAGTAAATAAAGCTTAAGTGGAGCACGGTCACACTCATTAAGTGTGTGTCTGTGGCTGGTTTCTGCTACGACAGCGGAGCCGAGTGGGTGTGACAGAGGCCGTACGCTGGCACAGCCTTACATAGTGACTGTCTGGACTTTGAGGGGACAAGCTTGCTGACCCTGGGTTTAAAAGATCCCACCTCACCAGTCCTCTGTCATGCCTACATGGTCTCACGCACGCCTCCGACGTCAAACAGGTTTCCTTTGCCCTGGTTTAGGGATGAGGACGTTGAGGCTCAGACACAAGAAATGACTTCCCTGTGCTCACATGGTTTGTGAGTGTCACAGCCCATTTCAAACACAGAGCCGGGGAGTTCAAGTTCTTTTGTTTCTTCGTTCTTTCTTTCTTTTTCATTATTTTTCTCACAGTTGCAAACATACACAAAGTTAAGAGGGAAGTAAAATGATCTCCTAATGCATCCATCTTCCAATTTCAAGACTTGTCTGAAATTCGTCAATCTTATTTCATCCATCTGCTCTCACCTTACTTTTTATGGGGCATTGAAAAGCAAATCCCAGATATCATGGCGCTTCACCCAGAGAGGTCTCTCGGCAGAAAAAGCGCAAGGGGCCGTCTGGTGGGAGGGCAGCGGTCCTGCGGAAGCTGCCCTGGGCTTCCTGCAGGGACTGGTTTGGTGTGAGGAGGCCAGTGGCCCTGGGGGGAGATGCAGAGAGGACACCGCTCCTGTTCCTTCCCGCGGCCCCAACCAGGGAAGAAGCAGCTACCAGACGCCCAGCTCCTGAGCCGCCGCTTCCTGCTCAGGAGGAAGTTCATACCTGACCCCCAAGGCACCAACCTCATGTTCGCCTTCTTTGCACAACACTTCACCCACCAGTTCTTCAAAACTTCCGGCAAGATGGGTCCTGGCTTCACCAAGGCTTTGGGTCACGGGGTGAGTACCTAGGAGGGGCTCAGGGCTTCTCTGGACCTAACCTGGCACGTGCACATTGCCGGCAGTCGGGTAGGACCTCCTGATAATCCAGGTGGACCCTCTCTCTGTCCTCAGGTAGATCTCGGCCACATTTATGGAGACAATTTGGACCGCCAGTACCAGCTGCGGCTCTTTAAGGATGGGAAACTCAAGTACCAGGTAGCGGTGGACATGGGCATGGGGATTTAGGAAGGGCCTTCCACTGAGGTCTTCCCTGGCAGAGGCTGTTGGGGGCCCTGGCGGGCGTCCTGAGCGGGCTGGCCGCAGGGGCTGGCGGGATAGGAGGAGAGACAACGAACCCTGGGAGAAGACGCCAGGCCAGAGATGCAGACAAGGAACAAAAGACGGCCTCTCATGCCTTCCTGGGAGGTAGACTGTAGGGCTCAACAGGAGATGGGCATTTCCAGTTTGCCTCTGTTCATTGAATCTTGCCACCACGTGAACTGGGCACCTGATGCGCCCGGCACCGCTTATGGGGCAGTGACCGCGATCACTATGGGCCCCGCCCCCAGGGAACTCACAGCTGCTCAGCGGCCACAGACGCAAACACTAGGATGCCAGTTCCACGAGGTCCTTTTGCCCAGTAGAAATGTGATGTGAACCACAGATGTAATGAGAACTTTTCCAGTGGCCACATTAAATGAAGTAAAAAGAAACATGTAAAATTGATTTTAATAATACATTTCATTTAACCCTGTGTATGTCCAGAATATTATTTCAATGTGAAATGAGTACCAAAATTAGTAACAAAATATCTCACATTCTTTTTTTAACACTAAATCTTAGAAATCGGATCTATATTTTACACTTATAGCACATCTCAATTCAACTGCCAAAATTTCACTGGGGATGTCTCATCTGTATTTAGATTTCATAAAATTTACAGTTGGAAAAGTAGATCCACATGTCCTAGTTGGTCTAAGTGCACAAAAGGATTTTCCAAAATTTGAATCTAAATTAAGTAAAATAAAAAATTCAGTTCTCTGTGCACTCCAGCCACATGTGTAAGGCGCGGCAGCTACAGGTAGAGTGGCTACAGTATTGGACCGTGAAGATCTAAACAAATGAAAACCAAAGGAAAAAGTAGTTCACAGCTGAATCTTTAAGCCTAAGAACGGTACTTGGCACATAGTACATCCTCGCTATATACTTATTGAATGAATGAAGAAACTGTCGTGTAATCGATCACACCTTTGACAGCTGCCGCCAAGGGAGATGCCACCAGAGGGCCCTCAGGACGGGGACGTCTTCCCTAGGGGGTTACAGCTAGGCCGAGAGTTGCGTGAGGTCTGAGGAGGACGAGGAGGACGCAGGGAGGGTCAGAAGGGAAAGGGCCGAGGCCTGGAGAGGGGCGCGGAGGGAGTGAGGTAAGGAAGGCGCTCCCAGGCACCTGAGTGGTGGCGGGTGAGGGTGCAGACGGCTGCGGGGCCGTGCTAAATATTTCTGATTCTTGCCAAGAGCTGAGTGAGGGCTTGGCAGGGGTTCAAGCCAGGGTGTGGTGTGAGATGTGGACTGTTTCAAAGGGCTGCTCTGGCCTCAGTGTTGAGAAAGGACTGCCCGGGGGCAGGAGGAAGAGTAGGGCCCGCTTTTCTTGCCCGGGGGCGAGAGAGAGAGAGGAGACAGGGCGGAAGAGGATGGTGGCTTGGCAGCTGATGGTGGAGGTGGGGACTGGGGAAAGGGACCCGTTTTAGGAGAGGTTTAGGAGGTAGAATCAACAGGTCTCCGTTAGGGAGGACGGGCAGGCGCCCTGTGTGATACAGGCAGCTAGGAGCGGGAGGGTGTCAGTTGCGGTAGGTGCAGGCGCCCTGCCCCGTCCCCAGGTGACCAGGTGGCCCTACCCCGCAGATGCTGGACGGAGAGATGTACCCGCCGTCAGTGGAAGAGGCGCCTGTGCTGATGCACTACCCGCAGGGCGTTCCGCCCCGGAGCCAGATGGCCGTGGGCCAGGAGGTGTTTGGCCTGCTTCCCGGGCTCATGCTCTACGCCACCCTTTGGCTGCGGGAGCACAACCGCGTGTGTGACCTGCTGAAGGCCGAGCACCCCACCTGGGGAGACGAGCAGCTCTTCCAGACGGCCCGCCTCATCCTTATCGGTGAGGGCTCCCATCGGGCCCTGTCCTGGAAGGCTGTCCCCTCTGTCCCCAGCGGCAGGGGGTGGAGGGGTTGGGGACAGAGAGCTGGGATTAGAATCCTAGAGCGTCTGCTTACTAGCCATGAGACCCACAGCAGGCCCCTTCCTCTCTGTGAGCCTTAGTTTCCAAACCTGGACATTGGGGATAACGTTGCTGTCAGGAAGGGGAAAGCACTCCACACACAGTAGGCCCTCAGAAAATGACATGGATGGGTGTGATGGTCGATTATTAGCTGTGTGACTCGCAACCAGTTTCATCAGCCACCCCAAGCCTCAGTTTCCCCATTGTGCCGCACCCAGATGCACACAGTGACACCCCCCCCGCCACCGCCCCACCACACGTGCGGGTCAATCCGCAGCTTCTCCAGCCTTCAGACATCCCCACGTTTCCTGCCCTGCGTGTATGTGCCTTCCTGGAGTTTGGCAGCTTCTAGGTGACTCAGGGATGGAATCTTTTTGTGTCCCCTACGGGGGCGAGTCTGCAGCCGAAAATGTCAGATGGTTTCCTGCCGAGGAGCTTGGCTTCTTACACCCCTCCAGGCCGTGTTCGCTCTGAGTCACCAGCAACCCCCTCCCCCACCTCTCCCTTCCCCGGGCACGGATGTCCCAAATATAGTGCCTGATTGCATGGAGCCTGGATGAGCCAGGCACTGGGCATAGGTACAGCTTAGGGAAGAGGGAGGGGCTGGTTCTGAAGTCCCGGCATTGCAGAGACCTTGACCAGAGAGGGCATGTCTGTGGCTGGAGGCTGCCCAGCACACTGACTGGTGGTGAAGCTGTGGCCAGGCCATGACCGAAGGGGATGAAGCTGTGTGTTCGGCGCTTCATTTAACCTTCCCCGAAAACCTCATGAACCAGATACCGTTACTCGTGTGGAAAATGAGATTCAGAGAGGTCAAGTGAGTTCTCCAAGACCACGCAGCAGAGGAAGACTTGAACCAGGTCTGGCTGCCACCAAGGTCTATGCTGTTGCCACCACATTGCGAGGGGAGCTCGTTCCTGCGTGGGGCGGGGTTGCAAGCTTTAGTCTGATCTTTTGTGAACTCGAGAGTGTGGGGAGGCCCTTCTCCACTCACACCCGAGTGCGGTGCTCCTGCTTCTCGCCCACGTGAGCAGACTCCCTGATGTGCCAGGCCCCGAGCCACGCAGGTTAGACGCCTTTTTCCCTGCGCCTCCCCAGGACCCTGTGAACATCGCTGTGCTGGTGTGATTATACTACACATTTCACAGGTAGGGCAGGCGAGGTCCAGAGAGATCAGGTGACGGGGCCCCCGCGCAGGTGGCTAGAAACCGTGAGGCCGGGATGTGGACCCAGCTCTGCCTCCTGCAGATCCAGTGGGTCCGGATCAGCCTGCCCAATGCCCGTTTGTCTAAGGGCTGATTGGCCAAAATAGCCGTTTCTTTTAACATCTAGGCGACCGGTTTTCATTCTGTTATGGAATGTTCACTTTGTTTCTTCACTGGCTCTTCGCTTTGTAGCTGGTTGCTGAGGGAGCAGAGGAAGCTCTGTGCGCAGGAATTCTGATGTGTGAGACCGTGCAAGGAATGTATTTGGGGCTAGAGTCACCTTCTGCCCTCAGCGTCCCTCTCTTGCTGCCGCAGCTTCCTTCAGAGGGGTCTCCTCCAAACCCCCCTCCTCTCACAAGCACCCTGAGCGCCCTCCCTAAGTTAACCTCTGCTTTCCCATCTTCTGTGGCCTCTCCCACTTCCTTTATTGGGCTGCGGGAGAGCGGTCACTCCAGGGGTCCAGACCAGCTCTCAGGTACTCCTTGTGCACGTCTGGGTTAGCTGGGCCCGTGGCCGCCCTTTGGAAGGCAGGAGCCACTGGCCGTTCTTATCTTGGGACATCAGTCCAACCACAGACAGAAAGTCCCATTCCCACACCCTGTACCAGAAAGGCAAGTGAATGTAGCCAAATGAAACAAAAACAATAGCAGCGGTACAGGAGCAAAAAGCAAGCGCTCTTCAAGAACTGGCTGCCCAAGCCGGCGGCTGACTGGCTGTGCTCCGCTGACCTCTCTCCCAGGGGAGACCATCAAGATTGTGATCGAGGAGTATGTGCAGCAGCTGAGTGGCTACTTCCTGCAGCTCAAGTTCGACCCGGAGCTGCTGTTCGGCACCCAGTTCCAGTACCGCAACCGCATCGCCATGGAGTTCAACCAGCTCTACCACTGGCACCCGCTCATGCCCGACTCCTTCAAGGTGGGCCCCCAGGTCTACAGCTACGAGCAGTTCCTGTTCAACACCTCCATGCTCACGGACTACGGTGTCGAGGCCCTGGTGGATGCCTTCTCTCGCCAGAGCGCTGGCCGGGTAAGCCCTGGAGGAGCCTCGGCGGGGCCAGGTGGGCTCCGGGACCCTGCAGACCTGGGTCCAGATCCCAGTTTTCTTTTCTGAAAAACGGGGCCAGTGTTGCTCCCGCAGGGCAGCTGTGAGCGTGCCTGCATTCATTCTCTTGCCCTTTCGCTCGCCCGGCAGTACCAGGTGTTGCTCTAGCTGCTGGGGATACAGTGGTGACCAAGATCAGTGCGGTTCCTCAGTGCCTGTCCTTTTGGTGCTTAACCTTGGAAAAGAACAATGGTCACACGACAGCTAACATCACCTGAGCACTTGCTACCTGTTAGGCCCTGTGCCAAGCACTTCTCTGATGTGAATTATTAAAAAAAAAAAAAAAGCATGTTAGGAACCGCAATCCACAAAAGTCCACCGAGCTCACAGTGCTGTGGGGACTCGGAGTGGGGCCTCTGAGCCAGAGTGGGGGGGACTGCGGATAAGTGGTGTCTGAGCAGAGACCAGAGGGCTGGACAGGCACCTCCCAGGGAAAGAGGTAGTGTTGATGGCAGGGACAATTGCTTTCCGGATGGAGGGGACAGCAGAGCAAAGCCCCAGAGGTCAAGGGCACGGAGATCTGAGGACCAGGAAGACACTCAGGGTATGGTAGTACGCGTGAAAGTCCTGCACGTACTAGGTCTTCATTAAATCACAGGCCACCGTTACAGGCTGAATGTCCTCCCCACCAAGTGCTATGCTGAGAGTCTGAACCCCTGGCACCTCAGAGTGTGGCTGTATTTGGAGACAGGGTCTTTAAAGAGGGCATTAAGGTTAAATGGGACCATCGGGCGGGCCCTGGTGTCCTTGAGAGAAGGGGGGGTTCAGAGGTGTGCACAGGGGGAAGGCATAGGCAGGAGATGGCCATCTTCCAGCCTCAGAATGAAACCAACCCCGCGGACACCTTGACCTTGGACTTTGAGCCTCCAGAACTGTGAGGAAATGAATGTCTGTTGTTGAAGCTGCCCAGGTGGTGGCGCTCTGGTATGGCCGCCCTCGCGAACTAACATAGCCTTTTCCCCTGGGATTCCTAACCAGCTCCCTCCTAAATCTCCTGGTCCCCGTGTCTGAGAGCTCCCACATCCTTCACTGCAGCTCTCCCCCTCCTCTGTTGCTCTCTAGCCCTTGTCCCTAAATCCTGTCACGAAGTCTTGGCACCATGTGGATTTACATTTCCTCCTGGTGATTTGACTGAAATTAGCATACGCTGCCACCAGTGGGCAGCTGCTGGCTGCTTTATGGCCTCTTTTCCCTGTGAGGACACAGGCACAAACAGAGACAATAGCTCTTGTGTGGCGCTGCATGGTTGCCAAAGAATTTTAAAGGAATGACCATGATGACGTGTGTGAAAAGCCCTGCTGTGTTCTGGCACAGGACAGAAGCGTGCTGACTCTCGGGACATTGAAGAGAGTGTGGGAAGTGATGAAAGCAGGCTCCCTTGATGATAGCCACACAAAGCTACATCTTGCGGTTACCACGGGATAACTGCTTTGCATGGTTTATCTCGCTTATTTCACAACCATACCAGGGGGATGCTCTTTCTGGCCCCATTTTGCATAGGAAGAGACTGAGGCTAGCTTCAGTGATCTGCCCGAGGTCCCTGTATGAGTCTCCCAGGGCTGCAAAAGGACCACAAACTAGGTGGCTTTAAACAGCAGATATTCGTTCTTTCATAGTTCTGGAGGCTAGACGTCCAAGATCAAGGTGTCGGCAGAGCCATGCTCTCTCTGAAGGCTCCAGGGGAGACCCTGCTTGCTCCCTGCTTGTCTCTCAGCATCTGGTGGCTGCCGGCAAGCCTTGGTGTTCCTTGGTTTGTACAGGAATGACGGCTCCAACTCGGTGTTCTCTCTGTGTCCCTGGTTTTTTTCATCAGGACATCAGTCACCCTCCTAGAGTGTCACCTCTTATACACACCTAGTGCCCAATAAGGTCCCATTCTTCATGGTGCTGGGTGGTAGGACTTCAGCATACCTTTCTGGGGCACCAAGTGAACCACAGCGGCCCCACGGCTTGGAAATGGTTGGGCTGAGATTGGCACTGGCTGCCACTAGCTTTGCTCCAAGGTGTGTGGTTTCACCGAAATATGCTCTTCGTCTTTCCCATCCAGTGATACTTGTTTGACCCAAACAGAACTCTTTCCTAAGCATTAACATTATCGATTCCTCTTGAACAATAGAACTTTCTTTAGACCAATGCTCCTTAATAGTTATGAATCAGATTTTTATTTTCTGGAGCCTTTTTTACCTCACCAGGTTATCAGGGCTTTGAACCCTGTGGTCTCTCCCTTCACAGGATGCCATGTTACCCCACTGGTCTTGAAGGTAAACTCCAAGGTTAGTTAAGCTAAATTTGTTTATATATCATAGTTTTCGTGGCAAGGTTTCAGCTCTGCCCTTGCTGGCTTATGACCATTGTCTTCCCAGAGGCTTGGCAGAAGGAAGAAGAATTAGCCATAGTCACCTGTGTTCTTGTGAGTGGCTTTATCTGGTTTGAAAGGAGTGGCTTGATACGCTGTCTTCCTGCCTTCCAGCTCTGAGTTCTAGGGGTGGCTGGTTCTCAGGGGCTTTTTCATACTAGGTGCTCAGTACATCTGGTTGCATCTCAATACTATGACACAGGGAATGGAAAGCAATAGAAATAGGTTTCCTGGCAGAATTCCTTAAAAGAGGAAACATCCCTGCTTATCCTAAATAAAGACTGTCTTAGCCCAGGTAAGGACTGATTCAGAGAGTGACAGACACATGTCAATTCTGTCAGGTAGAATTTTAAAACTATCTTAGGGAAGCCCTAATGTTTTGGCCTCTGGAGTTAATATTCGTCCATCCTGCTGTTGCTAACCCTGGCCAGCTCAGAGAGCCTCCCGTCCCTCCAAACCTCATTTCCAGAGCAGTACTGCTTGTCTCCTCTGCTTGAGCTCTTGGCTGGGGCCATACCGGTCATCTCCTCTGCAAAGTCCTAGGTGCTGAACCTAATAGTTCCAGAACTTTCCTTAAGAAGATGTAGGGGGTTGCCACCTAAATTCAGAGGGTTGTAGAGTTATTACAGTGGTCTTCCCAGCCTGCTCAACATTTTAAAAGTGAGGAAGCTGAGACTGACTCACAGGGGGTCCCTGAGAAGGCCTGGCAGTGGCAGACCTGGCACCAGGCCCCCAGCATCAGGCCCCCCAGCATCAGGTCCCCAGCACCAGGCCCCCAGCAGCAGGCCCCCAGCAGCAGGCCCCCCAGCATGGTGAGGGCAGGGTTGGGCTGCAATCTCTGTCCTGCCTCAGGGAGGGGTCCTGGCCTGAAGTTCTTTCCCAGGACGCTGTGGCCAGGCTGTCAGGCCACAACTGTGTTTATCTCTTGGCAGATCGGTGGAGGTAGGAACATAGATCAGCACGTCCTGCACGTGGCCGTGGGCGTCATCCAGGAATCCCGAGAGCTGCGGCTGCAGTCCTTCAATGAGTACCGCAAGAGGTTCAACATGAAGCCCTATACCTCCTTCCAGGAGCTGACAGGTGAGCAGCTGTCCCTGGACACGGCCCCTGCCCTCAGTGGATTTGCACTGAAGTGGGGGAGACATTGAGGAAACATGTGGCCAGCACTGTGACTGGGATTACAGGGGGCGTGGGATGGCAAGTAACACCACTGTGGAGAGAAGGTGGCTTCTGAGTCTGAAGGCTAAATAAGGATTATCTGGGTAAAGAAGAGAGGGGAGAGCATTCCAGGGAAAGGAACAGAGAGTAAACAGCACAGAGTCACGAGCAATGGGTGCACTAGGGAGAACAGTCGTGTGTGTGCCTGGAGCAAGGAGCTTCTGTGGGGGTGAGGCAGAGGTAGGGATGGGAGGCTGGGGCCCCATTGTATAGAATCTTGGATTGCATGCTAAGGATTTTGGGTTTTATTCTGTCTAGTGGGTCCTAAATATCCATTTATGGACTAGCTACCTAAGAATTGCCTAGAAAACTGATTAAAAATACCAAATCCTTGCCTTGGCTGGTGTAGCTCAGTGGATTGAGCTCGGACCTGCAAACCAAAGGGTTGCTGGTTCGATTCCCAGTCAGGGCACATGCCCAGGTTGTGGGCCAGGTCCCCAGTAGGGGATGTATAAGACACAACCATACATTGATATTTCTCTCCCTCTCTCCTTTCCTTCCCCTCTCTCTAAAAAAAAAATCCTAGATGTCTCTCTGAGATTCTGGTTCAGTAGGCCTGGGGGTGCCGAAGACTTCGCATGCGCGCGCGCGCGTGTGTGTGTTGTTGTTGTTGCTCACCCGCAGCTGTTGGGCAGCCAAATTTGGGAACCCTTGTCACAGACAATGGGGAGCCACTAGAGGGTTTTGATGAGGGTGTAACATGACCCATGACTACACACTAGTGCCGTGTGGAGGGTGGATTTGGGGAAACAGGCAGGGAAGTTCAATGTCCATCTCCTGTGACAGTCCAGAGGGGCAGAAATAACTCCACCGCTCAATCTGCCTCTGTGAGCCTGGGCAGGTTACATTACATCTCTGAACTCCAGTAGAATGCGGGCTCTTAGACCAGGATAAGGCCTTACTCAAATCTGCCTGTGAAGGAAACAAGATGGGGAGCTTCTCCCTGCTCTAAGGATCAGGTGATTAGGGCACAGAAGTAAAATGAGTTGCTCAAGGTCACACACTGTCTGGTGGCAGATCTGGGTCCTTGACGCCATCTGCAGCAGCAGACTCCTTCTTGAATGCAGCCCTGGAGAAGGATCAATCAGCCAGGCCAGATTTTAGGGCATCTGCTCAGATGCTTTGCAGCTCAGATGCTCTGCAAAGGTGCTCAGATTGTTCTTTCAAAGTCCCTTCTTTTCCCCAGAAAAAGGTGGACCTAGAAGTCCCCTCCCACCCCAGATTAACCTTAACAGATGGATCGTGATTCTGACTCGAGCTTCTCCCCCTTGTAGGAGAGACAGAGATGGCAGCTGAGTTGGAGGAGCTATATGGAGACATTGATGCCTTGGAGTTCTACCCAGGACTGCTTCTTGAGAAGTGCCATCCAAACTCCATCTTCGGGGAGAGTATGATAGAGATTGGGGCTCCCTTTTCCCTCAAGGGCCTCTTAGGGAACCCCATCTGTTCTCCAGAGTACTGGAAGTCGAGCACATTTGGTGGCGAGATGGGCTTCAACATTGTCAAGACGGCCACGCTAAAGAAGCTGGTTTGCCTCAACTCCAAGACTTGTCCCTATGTCTCCTTCCGCGTCCCTGACACCCACAAGGACGATGGAGCCGGTGTGGAGCGGCCGTCCACAGAGCTCTGAGGGGCAGGGCGGCAGCGCTCCGGAGGGTAGAGCTTTGCACTTGTCTTTCCAGAATGCTGAGGCCAGGGTTAATGGTTATAAAACGGGTTTCTAGTCTGGCACAGAGAGGATCAGGGTTGACATTTAGAACTTCGTGTTTTTCATCCCTTATCTGGAATATTGTGGTCTTGTTTGTCATCCTAGAAATACTGAATTCCTGGTTAAATAGCCAGAATGTTAGAAGTGGTTTTCACTGGTGTGCCAGAAAACTGGGTTCCTGGTTGACAACCTAGAATGTCAGATTTCTGGTTGATTTGGAATATAGGCATTCTAGAATGTGGAGCTCCTGATGAAACCATGTAGAAAGTTAGGCATTCTTATTTTGCATTCTAGAATTCTGGGGAACCCCCGCAAAGAATGTTGACTTTCTGATGGCCAATTCAGAATGTTCTGTTCCTGGCTGCTGATCCAAAATAGTAGCTGGTATGCTATTCAGTCCTGGTCTGAATGTCTAGAATGGTGATTTGATTCATCTTCCTGTTCAGGGAGATAGCCACAGAGTAGGAGAATCTAATGTCTACAAAGAACACACTGCCTGAATCTGCTTCTGCACTGAGGGAGCAAGGAGGTGGGTGCTCCTTTTTGGACCCCCAACTTAGACCCTGGTTCGAGGGTATAGAGAGAAGAACTGGACTTTCTCCAGGTCGCTGGTTGGAAGCCACCAGAACCCTGTCTCCATCCAAGTCTTGACTCATGGCAGCTGTTTCTCATGACGTGAATAAAATTCTTTTTCCAGATTGCCTGCTGTGTATCTCTTTGGATCCCATCCCCCAGAAGCCGAGGCAACACTGAAGTGACCTGTCTCCTAGCCATAAGCCAGACGTGCTAAACGTTGCAACATAGGACTTTCCACTGGGGTCCCTGGGGCCTGTCACTGTCTAGATCTTCCACCACCAATGCGTCATTTACTCCATGGCTTAGGCATCACCGCCCACCCCCAGGCTGCCCTCCTGAAACTCACAACTCCCCAGCCCCAGAAGATGTAGCGCTCGGCTCCCACCACCTGATGAAAACAGCTTCCTCCTTTACGGAGCGGACAGCAGAGATGAAGGCGTCTGGGGAGGAGAGCACTCACTGGGTGCCAGTTTCACCCATTCAATTCTCAAGAAGGAATTGATCCCAAAACCCCATTTCAAAACTGAGGAAGCAGGGACTCAGGCTGGTCACAGGACAGGCCCCCACAGGTGCCTGAGCCAGGCTGGAACTCAGGTCTGGCTGAGCCTAGAGCTGTGCTACTGTCCTACTCCCCCTACCCCGGCCCCCGGCCAGCTTCCCCTTGCTTCCTGCTTTGGACTCAGTTCCAGGCTTGATCTCATCTGTCTGGCTCAGGGTCAAAGGCAGAGAAAGTGGTGGGGTGTAGCCTCCAAATTGCTTGCATGCTATTCATTCAATCACACACAATTTCTTTTCTGAACTGTTTACTACGTGCCCATTACTGTCACAGGCTGGAGGCTACTAGAGTGATCAAGGCAGATACAACTTCTGTGGGTATGGAGCTCACGTTCCAGTGGGGGTGGAGAGACAATGAATAAGAAAACAAGTACGATCTCCCTTCTAACTCACTCGGCTCTGCCCTCCACGGCTTGACCCCTGAGCACTCAGACCCCGCCCATAGCCACACAGTACCCCATGGCCAGCAAAGAGAGAGGAGAGGTCAGACGGATAAGGTAAGAGGTTGAGGAAGGTCCTTCATGCTCTGCACTCCGGGTTTTAGAGGTGCCCAGGGAGAACAATGTCCCAGGAACAGCGGGGGAAACTGGGGTCCAAGCTGAGGGTCCTTGGGGCTGGGCCTCCTGTCTTGCCGTCCAGAAAGCCCTTGTTTCTCTTGCGTTGGCTGGAGGTGTCTCCATTCCTTCCTGGCCCTGGTGAATGCAGAGGATACAGTCTTCCCCTGCTTCCCCAGTTGCTCTGATCTGGAAGGATCCTTAGGGTGCTGGACAGTGGGCATGAAGGGCTTGTGTCTTGTCTTACCGGCCTGTATCTATTTCCCCTCTTCTGCTAATACCCCTGCTTTGCCTGAGAATCCACCCCTCTTGTTAACTTCAGTCCTGGTGGCTCCATCAGGGACCCTCTCCTGGCTGAAGGGTGGGCCTGTGAATCAATCCTGGCCCCTCTCCTGATAAATTGACCCTGAGTGGAGTTGCATGGGGACTGAGATGCCCAGCTCTGACTCCTCCCCACAGCTGGGCTCAGCAAAACCTTTCTGATGGTTCCTGCTTCCAAGATCTCCAGGAAATCCTGAACCTCGGGACTCTATCTTTTCCCTTTATCCTTGGGGCTGCTCCTTAAATCCCTTTTCCACTGAAATTGGTCAGAGTTGAGGTCTGTTGCTTGCAACCAAACTTCAATGGTTGCTGGCCCTAGGACACAGAGCACTATGATGACTCTGGAATGAATTTGAATCAGTGGAGACACAATCGCACCAGTGTTTTAGAAAGCAGGAAGAAAGCAGAGAGGGAGGAGCCAGAGGCCAGTAGAACGGAGAAGAGGCCATGGCCGTGGTCCTGCTGAAATCGATGGCAGCGGGGGCCAGGTGGAGGGCTGTGGGAGGGGAGGATGGGGTGGATTTCAACGAGTCTTTTCTTTCTTTGTTTTTTTTTTTTAATCCTCACCAGAGGATATGCTTATTGATTTTAGAGAGGAGGAGGGAGGAAGAGAGAGTGGGAGGGAGAGAAACATCAATGAGAGAGAGAAACATCGATCGGTTGCTTCTTGTACGGTTCCAGACCCCAAACTGAACCTGTGACCTAGGCATGTGTCCTGACTTGAAATCGGACCCATGACCTTTTCATTTACCAATGATGCTCCAACCAGCTGGGCCACACTGGCCAGCACGTTATAGTCTTTTCTTGAATGCAGCTGCCTAGATTGGCAGGCTTTGCTTTGTATGGACAACAGTGTATGAATTTTCTTGCAAATGGAAACTTAGGTCAAATGCACCAAAAAGGCTTCTTCAGAGTAAAGGATCTTAATCCTTATAATATGAATGCCTGTTCTGGAATTTTGATTTGGCTGACGTGATGGTTAGTGTCGCCTCTACTTGTCTGGGCTACAGTTATTTAACCAAAACCTAATCTAGATGTGGCTGTGAATGTGTTTCGCAGACATGGTTAACATCTGTAATCAGTTGTTACAGATTAACAACTTAATCTCCTTTAAGTAAAGGAGATTACCGTTTATAATGTGAGTCAGCCTTATCTAATCAGTTGAAAAACCCTTAAAAACAAAAACTGAAGGCTTCTGCTTCTTCAAGATTATAGCATCAACCCCTACCTGGGTTTTCAGCCTGCTGGCCCTGCCCTGTGGATTTCAGACTTGCCAGCCCTGAAAGTCATGTCAGCAAACCCTAAAACTAAAGTCATACATAGACATAGACATAGACATAGACATAGACATAGACATAGACATAGACATATCCTATTGGTCTGTTTCTCTGGAGAAGGCTGGCTGATACAGTAGGTAATTCATTCTGGGCTCTTAGCACATCCCCCAGCCCATTTCAGCAGGAAGGAATGTATTACAGGACATTGTGTCGCTCACAGACACACTGGCAGGACTGGAGGGTTAGGCTTGGAGACGTCGTGCCCAGAAACAGCAGCTACTGCCCCCCTGATGACATCTGCTACTGTCAGTTCACCCAGGCGCCTCTGCTCCCACCTCTGCCACTGATGCCCCTGAAAGCTGGCTGCTTCTACAGCACCACGGCCAGAAAATGGCTCAGCGCAGCACCTGCTTCCCCACCTTTCTCTACTTGGAATGAAAGTCATTTTTATTTTGCATCAGATTGACAGAGCCTAGTGTATATGCCTGCCTTCCAGCTCCAACAGAGGGTGGGGAAGCGGGTGTTCTGGCTTGTACCTTGGGGACAGTCTCCATATGTGCAAAGGGTGTTCACAGGGCTGGAAACACGGATGATCTAACTCAGTGGATCTGTTTTTAGTTCTGTTTTGTGTTTGCGGTCCTGTGCCCTAGAACCGCAAAGAACATCACCATGGCACCACCGTTGACCTGGCAACGGCTCAAAATAATTACAAGTAGCATGAGAAGCCGAATTATGGAAGTACTGGGAGCAATGATGCCAAGACCGTCAAGTCCACACAGTCCACACGGCTGATGATGTTTGAGCAGAAAGGTGTCAAAATGTCAGGCGTGCCTCCAACCCACTCTTCTACTCGCTCATGCTCTCTTGTGAAAATGGACTTTAAACTAGAGCAGCTTTATGCGAATGGCAGTAAGGAATATTAAAACTCCAAAGATGCTCTTACAGGGCACTGTTAAGGGGATTAGAGGGAAACACTTCCACTCTCTTACCTATCCTGCCTGATTTCCTCCCTGGCTAGGTTCAAATGCTCTTTTTGCTCTCAGTCTCTATACTTCTGGCCCAAAGAACTTTTGAGCCATCTGCACAGCTCCGGGTGTGGTGTTTTGGGACTCGGGACCACGTTGGTAGGACATTATTGCAGATTTCCACCACAGGTGCCCCCTACCCCTTGGAATACAACATACAACAAGTGCATGTATTTTTATATAAGCATAAACTCAACTACCACCAAAGAAATCAAGGTACAGAAAATTTCCAGCACTTGAGAAGGCTTTTGTGTGTCCATGTCCTGTCAAAAACCTCCAAAATATAACTGCTCTCCTGGTGTCTGTCACCGTTGATTACTGTCGTCTGCCTTTGAATCTCATCTGAACAGAGTCAAACCGTACATCTTCTTTGCATCTGACCTCTTCTGCTCAGCATGCCTGTGGACATCCGCGTGGCTGTGTGTCAGCAGTTTGTCCTCATTGCTGTGTAAGTATTTAGTGTATACCACAACTGATTTATCCAGTCAGCCATCAATGGGTGTTTGCTTGTTTCCAGTGTTTAACTATTATAGCTAAATCTGCCTCTTTGGCAGATTTTAAACCCTTATAACAGGGGCTCTATGCAAAACGTCATCTCTTATACACATTTATTATGAGAAATGGTTGCTGTCCTCCATTCAAAATCCCCTGCGGTGTCTTCTCTTGCTTTCTGGGTTCCCAAGTGTGACATGTGCCATTGATAAGAGGCAAAGGGAATATGGATTTATGAAGAGCCCACTCTGTGGATGGACTTGACCTGCTTATTTCATGAACTCTTACGAACAGCCCTGTGAGTCAGTTTCCCTGTTTCACAAAGGTGGAAACGGAGGTGCTGGGAATTAGGTGACTTGTCTACAGTGGTACAGCTACTGAGGTGGTGAGAGGCAGCAGTGAAATTCCGACGTGTGACCACTTTCCACCACGTGCCTTGCTCAGGACCCCCAGAGGCCGAATCACAGCCGGGATGGGGGCATGGAGGGTGGAGGGTGCGGTGATGTGGTGAGCACGGATGATGTTCACACACTTCCTGATGATTCTGTTCATGAGCCTTGAACGGAGACCCTGGCACCATGTCGTGCTGTCTCTGGGTCATTCTTTTCCTCTTTAGCTGAGTGCTATTTTCTCTCCTCTCCCATGACTCACTTTTTCCAGGCTGGCTATCTCTTCTCTGATCTATGACCAGCGCTCCGCACACCATGATGATGTTCACTGAAACTGGTTCCCTGATGTCTGAAAAGCTGTTCCCCTTTATCTCCCCATCTGCCTCTGACTTCCCTTCTCTGGCTCCCCTCTAGCCACACTCAGTGAAGCTCCAACCCCAAGCTCCCCCACCACCACCGCCACAGGGATACTCAGGGCCTGTTTTTGTCTTGGTTCTCAGTTCTTGCCTCCA